GATACAAGCCTCCAAAAGAGTGAAATGAAAACCAAACAACCAAACAAATAAAGTCAAGTTCTCCAAATATTACAACCAAAAGGCGAACTAAACAATGAAAGACAGAATCGCATGCGGAAATCTTGGAAAGCCGAAGGACCATATCTGCAAAACCCACTATCATCAAGCTTCAACACCAAGCAAATGCCCAATGCCCAGAAGAAAATATCAAAAGATCAATTAGGAAACTCTGTAGAAAGCCAAAAACTGAAGAGGACACCCAACGATTATTGCTGAAGAATCAATCTCGAGACTCGAGTAACCTTCTAAAACTCACAGAAGAAGCTTCTTCCACGATTTTCTATACAATTCTGCAACTGAATAAGAGGCATATTAACCTTGGGTTCTATCTTGTATCCAACCCTTGTTTTAATCTCTTTTTTTTTTGTGGAAGAAACAATTTCATTGATAATATGAAATTGCAAAAGAGATAACAAAGACTCAAAAGAGGGTTACATAAAGCATTTCCAATTGTAAAAAAGGGAAGCATTTCCAATATTAACTTTGGGTTCTATCTTCACAGTTATCACTTGGAGTAAAAGTTCTCTTTTTCACCATTATACCCTTGTTTTAATCTCAGTGAAGTTTGTTTTTGGAATTTGATCTTTACGTCCTTGAGAGGTGGTTGTTTATTCTCAATTTTGTTTGGTGTTGTCTTTGATTTGAACTTTGATAATTTTCCATTGTTTTTGTGAAAGARTACTTGATTTTTCTCATTAATTCTTAAATTTGACATGCTGGAATCCTGCCTTTCATTTTCCCCATCTCTTGTCTTTTGCTGTGGGTTTCAATCTTTGTCTCCCTTATGTAAATTCCCTTTTTGGAATAGAAGTTTGAATAGAAGTCAAGTCTTTTATTTCTTTAAAGGAACATCAGGCTTTTCTAGGTTAACAGAAATGACACTTATTTTACAGACATACAACCAATACAGCCACGATTTGGAGATGGTCTGTGCAGTGCTCTGTGCTGGATTATATCCAAATGTCGTGCAATGTAAACGAAGAGGAAAGAGGACAGCCTTCTACACTAAGGAAGTTGGGAAAGTGGATATTCATCCCGGATCTGTTAATGCAGGGGTTCATCTCTTGCCCCTACCTTACATGGTTTACAGTGAGAAGGTCAAAACAACCAGTATATTCATTAGAGACTCTACCAATATATCAGATTATGCCTTATTGTTGTTCGGTGGTAATCTTGTACCTAGCAGAAGTGGAGATGGCATTGAAATGCTCGGTGGCTACCTTCATTTTTCTGCATCAAAGAGCGTTTTAGATTTAATAAAGGTAATTCTTGAAAATGTCTAATGTATTTTCCACTTGTTCGGCACTTCAAGTGGAATCTTTCCTCCTCCAGGACACTTATGTTGTGCAAAGATAGGGGGAAGAGTGTTAGGCCTCCTATTGTGAATACCTATAGCAGGAGGGGTAGAAAGGGAAATAGAATAGTGGAGAGTGAGGAGCCATAATGGCCAATGGAGAGAGAGAAAAGTAGGGTGGGAGGAGAATAAAGTAGGGGAGGCAAGTTAGTGAGGGATATGCTTTTTGTAATCAGTGCCTAGTAGCAGTGAGGATAGGTAGGAGAGTTTCCCTACCCTCTCGAATTGGTGGTTTGAAAGTGTAATGCCTATGGTCTTGTTCTTGAATTTCTGAAGGCTAAATAGTAAGGAGGTACCTTACAAAGAGAGACAGAAAAAGTATTGTAGGTGTGTTGCAGATTGTCGAGTCTAATCGAGGTTACATTTACATTTACTGTTACAAGTGAGCATCCAAGCAAGAATTGTTGAGTTTGATTATCTAGGCTAGGACTAGTGGAGGAATTTTCATTTTTTTCAAAGAGACTTCTATTATGTTTCTGATAGAACCTCTATATTATTTACTGGAAGAGAGAAGGTAAAATTTCAAGAGCTCCTGCTTCACCTAAACCCGCCTTTACATAAAATGCCAAAAGATAGACCTCACCCCTCCTACCCAGGGTATTTAACTACATTCCCTCCCCAGCGCCCAGCCATAACTACTAGCCAACTAATGGACCCACTTACAAAACAGAATTCCCTTCACCTTCCCACACTAACTTTACTCTTTACTCTCCCTTTTCCTCTTGTACACATTTAAACAGGCGGCCTATCAGTCCCCCACTTGTTTGTTTGTCGACAAGATTTTTGACTGTGTATTGTCAAGTTTAGATAGCTAGGATGAAGTTGCCATTACAGGCAGGTACGCGAGGGCGAGAGTCTAGATGTCTACGGAGGATCGTTGGGTCTATACTAGAAAAGTTAAGTTGCAGATACTTATGTTTATGGGTTCCATTGAGTTTCATCTCTTCTCTTTTCTTTCCCAGAAATTGCGTGGCGAACTCGACAAGCTTCTGAATAGGAAGATTGAGGAGCCAGGCTTTGACATTTCTACAGAAGGAAAGGGAGTTGTGGCAGCTGCAGTTGAGTTATTACACAGTCAAGTTCATCATTAATTCAAGTTTGCTTCTTTCAGCATCAACTACTTACAAATAGARTAGAACAAAAGGGTTGATCTGTTCTTTGTGTAGGGTACCCTTAACTGAATATGGTATATAATGATCCCTAATCAATAGAGCTATTCATTTTGTTGGTTGGGAATAGTCTGCAAACGTTATTGTTTCTCAGTGATTACATTTTGCCAACTTAATTACATGCAATTTTTGACCTTATTGTATTTGAAACATCATTATATTTCTTTGATCTGTTGATCGGAGATTAATAATCCATGGAACTGAATGTATCTTTCATTTCATTGTTTGGTTCACGAGAACTTGATCAAGAAAAATCTTTATGCAATACTTATTGAATACAAATAACAAAATGTATTTTGACCCATTGTAGGCTTCAATCATTTTGCATCMTTTTTTGGTAGAAAGTTCGACTAACGAGAAAAAGTGTCTGGCCAAAGTTATAAAGGTTTGATCTAGGGGAATGATTTTCTTTTTGGGAGAACAAAAACAACCTACTTTTTCTTTCCTTTTTGGGTGCTACCTTTGGATGATCTTCGATTTAGCATTCAAGTGATATTTTACATTCTTATAAACATTAAATTCATGCCAAAAATCTATGCTTGTTACTTTGAAAGTGAAATCATACTCGGATTAAGATTTCACAAGTTCTTGAAAATTTATTTAAACCTCATTTTTCAACTAAAGTGTATTAGAAAAAAAAGTCTTTTTTTTTACGCAGACGATGAAATTGTATRATTTTCAATCGTCTGATTTACTATGAAAATTTTGAAGCTCCTTAAAATTCAGGAGAAACAACATTATTTAATAATTAGAGTTGTCAAATATTTAATGGTCTTAAGGAGTAAGTCCCTCCGTTACTAAAAGTGTTAGCGAAATAGACAAACATGTTTTCGTTTTTTTCCTCCTTTTTAAGTCCAACCAGCAATGATGAGATTTAAGAGGTTAAAAAAAGTCTTATGTTCCTAGGCAGTCTATTAAAACATTATTTTTAGAGAAAATTTACCTAATGTATGTTTAAAAATATAGTTCTTCACAAAATCGTCATTCGAAAAGTAATATATCCAAAATGRTATCTTTTGCAGCTAGGATTTATTTATTTTAGTACAACACGTGGRAGTGAAGATTYGAACTCATAACCTTTTGATYAGAAATCAGAAATAGGTGCCTTAACCATTTGAACTATACTCGAGATGKTTCCAATTCATTCAAATCCGAAGCTTTTTCTACATCCATAYGATCTACTATAAATATGACACAATTTAAAAAAACGTCTAATAACATATATTAATTCCATACATCTATGAATGATTATAAACATTTTAAAAAAATAATAATTGGGGGTAAGAGATTCGAACTCAATACCYCTTTGATTAGAGGTGGTATCAATATCTATTATTTATGTTGCGATTATAAACMTCTATTACTAATACATCTATTAATATTAGTCGCCTACTACAATTTACAATTCCTATGTCTTAAATTTGAAACTAATTTGTTCTTAAAAAAAACTTGAAATTAATTTGAAATCAAGGATCATTTAAGTTTTATTGTTTTTGTTTTAAACAATCTTGTACTTGCGAAAAAAACCCAAGAAGAGTGGTCAGGCCGGACTGGGTTCGGAAGAGCGAGTTGGCAACTCAGACGATCGACTCAGATCCAACTCGCTAAACCCCAACTAGTCTCTCAGGTCGGTGGGACAACCTGAAAAACCCTTCTAACTACCAAATTTCGCCCCCTCTGCCGTTCCCACCGCCGGAACCCTAGGTCGTAGAATCACTCCTCCGACGCTCCCCTTCCATGGTCCTCTGATTGCTTCTTCATCTTCTTCAGATGGGTCGGCCGGAGCCCTACGTCCTCTTTGCCCAGACCTTCGCTCACCCCCACCTCGACGAATACGTTGACGAGGCAAGTATCTTCTCTTTCACCTTTTCTCCATTGCCCCGCTACTACCAAATTTGGTCCACGTTCTTGTTTGATAGTCCGAATATGGTCATCTCTGCGGCTGACATTCTTTACTTGATGAGAGTTCTGTTTATCTCGCATTTGGGTTTGCTTTATCATTGAACTAAGTAAGTCATTGGCCTCGTCGCTATCTCCAGGTATTGTTTGCTGAACCAGTTGTTATCACCGCGTGTGAGTTTATTGAACAGAATGCTTCGTCTACCTCTCAAGCAGTAGCACTAGCTGGGTATGTGTGTCTTGCAATTTGAATCAGTTGTTATTTGCTCCTGAGCGTTTGATTTTTACGAGTTGTACTTATGAATGTTTGGTTCTTGATTTTAAGTTGAAGGTTTGCTTATCAAAGTAACATTTTTTTTTTTTTAAAAAATCGAACTAACATTTTGGTATTAGTGAATTGTTGAAATGTGATTATTTCCTTGTTAGTGTCGGGTTGAAAATGCCCTTCTTATCTTTCCCCTAGGTTTCGCTTTTTGGTAAGCGAGGTCTGGGGTCAAGTTTGTGTTACGTATGTTTTTAAGGCGCTTTCAATTTTTACTTTTCAGTGCCACTTTGCCTCCTTCATTTGCCGTAGAAGTGTTTGTTCAATGCGAGGGAGAGACAAGATTCAGACGCCTCTGTCAGCCTTTTCTATATTCTCATTCATCATCGAACGTTCTGGAAGTTGAGGTAATTTATTGTATAAAGATGAAAACTTATCATGTTATTACTGATGTATTACTGATTTTCTGAGTGCCAACGCAGTTACGTTGAATTATTTAATTGACCTTTTTTTATCTCTCTTTTTAAATGTAATTCATTTTTTTAAAGCAACGTACATAGCCTCTGTGTGAATGTTACTTGGAGAACTTTGATGTAAATCTGGCTTGATTTAAAGTGCTGTCCTGGATTAGGATTGTTTATTTTTATAATTTTTATGGAGAAATAGAATGAAACATCAATAATTCGAGAGCCGAAGAAGAGGAGGCAAACAGACTATACAAAAGACAAAAACTGTACAAAGTTATAAAGTTTTGCCCCGAGTAACATTTAATAGAAAAATAGCAGTTTAGAAAAACCATTAGATTTAGATATCCTAAGTGAATCACTAATCTCAAGTCTCAACCAAGTTTAATTTCAAGTCTCAACCAAGTTCTGAATATTTGGCACTCAGTGCTGTATCATTGAAAATTCTTTTATCCTGCCCGTTAAAATGTACAAAAAGTGGAAAGGACACTAGCTTGCCTAATCAATTAGACTGGGAAACCATCTCAAACAATATGTTCTTGTGGCATCTTATTTGGTGTTGTGCTTTCTTTGCTGTTTTTTTTGGAGCTATGATTTGAGAGGAATATCGGAGTTTTTGACCGGCTTCAGAAATTTTGGGAGGAGCTCGGGTCTTTTGTTAGATGCGATGCATCTCCTTGGGCATTTGTTACTAAAGTTTTGTTTTGTTTTGTTTTTTTTTTCTTKTTTAATAACGATCATTTAGGTCCTTGTCTTTTAGATTGGACCCCTTTTGTATATTTAGTTTTGGGTTTGGGCATTCTCTTTTGTTGGGCTGTTTTTTGTACGCCCTTCTGTATTATTTCATTTCATCTAAATGAAAGCAGGTTCAATAATGGTTAGTAATGATGATCAAATTGGAAGTTTGGACTCTGGAAGAGCTTGCACCAAGAAAAAATCAGCAAAAGGGCAATGGATAGACAAATGGATGGAAGCCTGGGAGGCTTTCTTGTCAAGAATCCACCATTGTGGGAGAAGACAAGACTAGAGGAATGAGCCTTTTTTCAAATGAACAGGAGTATTATTATGACCAAGAACTATTGACCAAGGGTCAATGACGAGATATCCAATTTCATACCATAATAAGAACTTTCGAATGTTTTGTAAAGAGTAAAATAAATAGGAAAAATTAGAACTCGAGGTAATTCAAAAATGAAAAGACTCCTATTTAGACACATTAGAATCACTGTCTTAAGGCTCAATGATGAGACCTCAAATTTCATACCATCTATGATGTTGTTTCTTATTAAAAAGGACGAGGCCTTTGAGTAAGGTTGAGGTAAGACAATGCTCATCAAGCTACTTGCCATTTACCATTCAAATCAATGGTGAAGTTGGAAGCATGGCGATATGGAGATTAGAGGAGATTGGAGGAAGTGTCAAAAAGTTTTTGATAGGAGKGAGTGTGAGAAAGTTAAAAGAAACAACAGGACCAGAAGAGAACTTAATATACTTCCAGTGTCTCTTATCCAAAAAAAGAGAACTTAATATCGTATATGGATAGAAAAAATCAGTAGGAAAGAGAAAATTGCCAATTAGTTTGTCTTTCTGAAAATGAATACTTATATAGTTGGTGCAAAGATCTAGAAAAGAGTCAAGTTTGAGAGAAATATATTTCTTAGGACTACGTTGAGTAGTTTGACGACTGATTTAGAATTTTTCCTATTTGGATAAGCTCTTTTTTGAAGTTTAGCTTCCAAAAGTAAAATCCAACCAACATTTGAAAATTGATTGATTCTTAGAATTTGCCAATGAGTAAAGCCTTGGAAATGTTAAGGGGAGTCCTACAACCAAGTTTACTCTCAAATCTTATTTTATCCCATTTCCTTTTTTTTTCTTTTGATAAGAAACCAAGAGAATATATTAGGGAAAAGAAGTCCGAAAAAGGTGACCCMGCTTAAAGGGAAAGGGTCGAGAAGACTCTTCCCTAAGATCTATACAATCACAACTTTCCAATCTTGTAAAATCAAAGAGAGACCATAGTTACAAAAAACCTTCTTGTGGATAGAAGCCCAAGAAGCCGTATGCTTAATATTCACAAAAAAAGAATCTAACGAAATCATCTTCCCATAAAAAAWTATTCTATTCCTCTCTTTCCAAAGGTGCCATAGAAGAGCCCTTGCTGCACAATTCCAAAGGTTTTCCCTTTTAGCGTGGAACCACCAAAACCTTCTACTATAAAATCATCCACTCTCCTAGGCCGACTAAGAGAGATGTCTATAAGAGTCGCTACAAAGCTCCAAGCTCGAGTGGCAAAAGGACAATGCAACGAAAGGTGGTCCACCGTTTCTATACTCTTCCAACATAACACAAAATGATGGGGAAAGAGCCCAATGGGGGGAGCTCCTAACTTACTAGTCCTTAATAACCCTTGATAATAAGATTTGTTAGGTCTTATTCTTTTGGATTGGAGCTCTTTCTTGTCTCGTTAGATTACCTCTTATTTGGCTCCTTATGGGCTGCCATTTTTTGTTGGTATTTATTTACTTGCCCTTGTGTATTCTTTCTCAATGGAAGTTTGGTTTCTTGATTAAAAGAAGCATTTGAAATATGTATTCAAGGGCTTCTAACGCTCACATTTCCCTTGTTTAATGTGGCTCCCCCTATCCAGAATTCTATCTTATATGTCCATTCTTTTAATAAATAAAAAAAATTAAAGAACATCTTTCATGGAGAGAAACGAAAGAATACACCAGGGCAATAAGATAAGAAAGCTTGGAAAAAAAGGAGCCAATAAAATAAGAAACAAAAATAAAGGATCAACGAACTACACTATTACAACAAAAGGGCTTGAGGTCAAAAGAATAAGAAGAAAAAAATTATTATCGAAAGCTTTAGCAACAGAGATCCAAAGCGTAATCTTGAGCCTATCCAGCCCCCAATACCTTTCCTCATCTCTAAAGACCCTCTTATTTCTCTCAGGCTAAATAGTATCAAGAACTACAGAAAGTGGCACATTGGGGAGCCTTTCATGACTGGCTGCGACCAATATGAACTCCAAAAGTCTAAAAAAAAAAAGTCTGAAATCATCACAAATTGTATTGTATGCCTCTCGTGTATTCTTTCATTTTTATCTCAATGCAAGCTTAGTACACTTTCAAAAAAAAGAATAGTCATCACAAATTTTGACCAATTGGAGAAGTTTCTTGTAACTYCATTGGTATGCGAGATTTTCAGCTTCCCTCCCTTTTGTAATTTCACACATATTGCATATTTGTTGAAGTATCTCTAGATGATTGCATGTCGTATTGTGCTCTGTTGTTTGTTTGTCTGCACCTCTTTTATGGACTCTAGTCCTATGACTATGTAAATTCTCTATTCTTATGATAATCTATTTTTCTTATAAAAAGAGATAGCATCTGGTATATTCTTAAATAACTAGAAAAAACCTTTTCTCTCTGGTTGTTGATTAACTTCTTGGTACCACTATTACTTTTGGTTGGCTTCTTTGTGGTTTAATAGTATTTATTTGTTTGACAGACAATTGTAAGTAACCATTTAGTTGTAAGAGGCAGCTACCGCAGCCTAAGCTTGGTGATATATGGAAATACAGCAGAGGACCTTGGCCAGTTCAACATTGGTTTGGATGATAGCTCATTAAATAACCTTGTTACCTCTGCTGAAGAGAACTTAGAGGATCTCCCTCTGGCACTACATTCAACTAGTTTGATGACTGAGGAACCTGTGACTTCTCCAATGAAGTTGTCACAACCTGATGCTGTATTGGATATTCCGGTTGAGGTTAAGCAATTTTTACAGTTAATGGCCAACATGTTGGAACAATTGAGTTTAGGCGATGCAATTCATAAAATATTAGTCATTGTAATTTCATCTGCTTCCTCTTATGTCTCTTATATTCGAGAGAGATCAAAGGATCCAGAAGCTTTGTGTGGTATTTTCAAAAATGCCAATAAGGATCTTCTTAAGTTGTGTAAAGCTATACAAGAGTCGATGGATGTATCAGCTAACTTATCTGCAGAGTTCTCTTTCCTTGAATCTGAGGCTGATTTGGCTTCTTCAAAACAGTTGGTGGATAGTTTGAGCAAGTATTTGAATTTTAACTTGAGCTCTTCAGCTGTTGGCTGTCCTTGGCAATCGAAGGTCTGTTTAGATATTTTATTTGTATTTGAGACGTCAAATGTGTCCTAACACATTTAGTTTAAGTTGTTTTCTTTGATAATATATGTTCCACTCTTTGCTTGTCTAATTCCTTATTTTATGATCTTCTTTCCTATTTCAGAACACCAGTGTCATTTTTGGGTTGAGTGTGGCTCTTTTCTTGTGCTCTGCTCGAGAGAGTTGCTTTCATTTTGTCAATGGTGGTGGAATGGAACAAATTGTGCATCTTCTTAGTAGTGGCGTCCAAGACTCTATCACTTCGACCTTGCTTCTTCTTGCAGTTGTTGAACAAGCTACYCAATATTCATTTGGATGTGAAGGCTTTTTAGGTTGGTGGCCTCGTGAAGATGAAAATGTTCCATCTGGAGCTAGTGAAGGTTACAGTCAGTTGTTGAATTTGTTATTGCAAAAGCCACGTCATGATATTGCTTCTCTCACAACTCAGATCCTTCAACGCCTAAGTTTTTATGAAGTTGCTTCCCGATATGAGGTTATTTTTTTCCGTTCTACTGTGTATGATTCTATCCATTTGATTGACTATAAATAGTAAGTTTATAGATGGCTATGATTTCCTTCTGTATAAGGGAAAAAAGTTGTGATCTCATTTTTGCAGTGTGCTGTCTTGTCTGTATTGGGAGGTCTTTCTAGCATTGGAAGAGTTTCAAATGTTCATTTGAACGTGCTTATCAGTATGAAGTCCCAACTTAAAACAATTCTGGTCAGTTTTGTTTTCTTGCATTTGTTTGTTTTTGCTTACGATTGGTAACTTCTTCTCGAAAGTTAATTCTCAGTTTGTGCCTATTGACAAGTGTAATTGCAGAATTTGATAAATTTATGTGGGCCAATTCAAGATCCTTCTCCACCTTCATGTGCTACCAAATCATTGTTTCTCGGTCAAACTGATGGTTTATTATCATGTAAAGCAACAAGTTACTTGATATCCTCATCAAAGTGTAGCTTTTCACAATGGGATGCTGACCCTCATTTACTTGCGCTTCTAAAGGTCAGTAATCTTGGTACTTTCTATGATGTATGTGTTTTTGCAAGTGGTTTAGGTTTCTGCTGAAGAAAGAACAAACCTTATGTTTTTAATGAATTTGATGTAATATTAGATTCTTTATAAGAGAGTTGTGTTTTTCGATTACTGCGGTAACTTTTTATGTTTGTTTCTTTTTCTTGGAAAAAAAGAAAAAGTAATTTGAATAGCAACAGTTATCTTGATGAAGGGATACAATTTTACAATGAGGCAAATGAACCATCACTACCTCTGCCTCTAGGCTGTATTTCTTGCCTTTTCTTGGGCTCCTCTTCTTTTTGAATGAAATCTCTTTGTTTATTATCAAAAAAGAAAAAAAAAAAGAACCATCACTACCTGGGTCGTCCTCCTTCTATAGATTTCTCATGATCATCTCAATTGCTATTGTTGGTATAGAGGGGATTTCCAATTATTCCAAATTTTAACATGGAAATGATTTGAAGAAATCATTGCAAATTGTCTGGCAGCCCTGATTATTTTCATATGGCCATAGTTTTAATTGAACTGTATAGTATGTGTTATAAATGACTGCTGAGCGCTAATTTCATGATCACTGTAACTTCTGAATTTTATTTTCCTGATTTTAGATGATATTCTAATGTTGTGAATATGTTTGGGAAGCAGGAAAGAGGGTTTTTTTCTCTTTCAGCTGCAATGTTGTCATCTTCCATAATGCGTTCAGAAGGGAGTAAAATCATGGATGTGTTTTTGGAGATTGTATCTTCTATTGAAGCCATTGTCCTTTCACTTCTTTTTTGTCGATCAGGTTGTCAAACTTCATCTAGTTTATCTTACAATTTGCATTGCACATTTTAAAATTAATAGTCTTTTTGAAGTGAACAGGCATCATATAGTATAATATTCTTTATAAGAACTATTTTTAAATAATGTAATTTAGCTAAATTTGATGTATTTAACCGGAGGTTGGTCATTGTATTTGTCATATTATAACTGTTTCTTTTTATAAGTATAAAATCAGAGCAATAACATACCAGCAATTTGTCATCCTCAACTTATTAACTGATTTATGCCCCTTATTTTGTGTTTTCATTTGTTTGAATGAAAGMTGGTTTTTTACTTTTTAAAAGACTTATTAATTGATTATTAAATAAAATAGTTCTATGGTCAATATCCCACATGTACCTGGGTTAAAAATGATATTGAATGATTAACTTTTCTACCTTGGTAAATGGTAAGCTTGGGGTAGAATTTTTGCTTCAAGGAGTGTTCCTTGATGCTGTTTACGTCTTTGGTAGAATGATGTCGATAGGGTTACATGGTCTTGGGGGATCATGTCCCAGGAGGGTGGGTACTTGTGGGAGAGTGTCTTGTCCCATTGTCCTTGGTGGGCTGGTGTTGCTAATTTGAAACTTCGAAACAGGGCCTCACTTACAAAATAGTTATGGTGGTTCTTTGTAGAGATTGATGCTTTGTATCATACGATCATAGTAAGCAAGTATGATTCCCACCTAGTTGAGTGGGTTTTGAGTTGTAGGTTAAAGGTGCATTCAGGAAGCTGTGGAAGTCCATCTTTTTAGTTACTTCATACCTCAGAAAAGTATGTTAGAGCAACCATTAATATTACATCTGCTTTTCAGGTCTAGTATTCCTACTCCACCATTATGAACTTTCAACTACAATTCTTCATGCTTTAAAGGGTGATGAAGATGCCAATTTGGAGGAGTGTATGCCCATTCGATATGCATCAACCCTTATCTCTAACAACTTCTTTTGTAAGCCCTCAAATATTGCTACGATTGTACGGATACACTTGAGAGTGGTAAGTTGTCTTTCTCAGTTGAAACAACTATACCTGAGATATTGATTCAAGTTACTATCCTTTCCCCCTCTAAATTTGCATTTCAACTATAAAGTTGCAGTGATATAATCCAAGTTTTTATACCCTCTGCAGGTCACTGCAATTGATCGCTTACTTATGACGACTCCAAACTCAGAAGAATTTTTATGGGTCTTGTGGGAACTTTGTAGTATTTCTAGGTGGAGTTCTGGATTCTTTCCCCTTTAATTTGTACCCACTTGCATAATCAATCAATTGACCAATTTATTTTATTTTGTAGATCTGACTGCGGACGTCAGGCCTTGCTTGCTCTGACATACTTTCCAGAGGTATTAAGTACTTGCTTCATTGCCATTTAATTTTCAGTTTTCAGTTCTTTCAGAAAAAAAAATGTTTATTTGGTCACCTGCTCTTCCCWTTTTGGTGGTGGTGGTGGGGAGTTCAAGTATCAAAACTTTTTATTGACAAGTGAAAAGTAAAAAATAGATTCAGTAACATACTTGGTGTAGACATAATCTTTAAAGCACACAAACAATGAAACCTCCTAACGTGATTATTTTATTATTATTATTTTTTGATATGAAACAAATATTTCATTGATGGTATGAAATATACAAAAGGCCCCGAAGGCAATTACAAGAAAGCTCTCCAACTTGTAATAAGATCATTAAGAGAGTAATTGTTGATTATTAACCTCCTAACATGATTATAAAATATAAAGAAAGGGACTCCAACAAACATCAATATCAGAAGAAGATATTTAGGGATTGTCTTGATTCAAATTTTGTATGCTTGGTGTTTGGTTGTGGGGTTTGGGTTTGTGTTCTTTTTATTGATAAGTGAAAAGTAAAAAATAGATTCAGTAACAGACTTGGTGTAGACATAACCTTTAAAGTGCACCAACAATGAAACCTCCTAACGTGATTATAAAATATAAAGAGAGGAACTCCAACAAACATCAATATCAGAAGAAGATATTTATGGATCGTCTTGATTTATTTTGTTSGCTTGGTGTTTGGTTGTTCCTTGTGGTTCTGTTGTGGGGTTTGGGTTTGTGTTATTTGTTCTGTCGGGAGACTTTTCGCAGCATCAGTAGAAAGTTCTCTTTCCTTGTCAAGGAAAAAAAAGATTTCAGAAGATGAGGAACTTCTAAAGACATTGGAGAGACCACACCAATAAGTTAAACTCCTAGAAAAATATGTACCTTTCTTGGAGTTTGGTTTTGTTTTTTTTTTCCTTTCTGTATAGAATTAAAAGTCATACTTTTATTCTGTGGAAGGAAATACAATGGACATACAAAAAAAATTATCCCAGGGACGTAGAGTCACAATTACATATCTTCCATACTTGCTCATTTGTCTCAAGATTTTGTGATGAGGTACTATCTTCATTCCTGGCTTTACCCCTTGATTTAAAGTGTCTTCTCTCATATACTCTCACGGGTCACCCCTTCAGAAAAGAAAAGGAGCTCCTTTGGAAGCACATCGTTAGGAGAATTTTTATGGGCAACATGGACCGAAAGGAACCAAAGGCTTTTTGTTGAAAAAGAGCAATCCTATGATAGACGAAGAGAGCTTGGTTCACATCTTCTTCCTATGTTCTTTCACTCGACAGTGCTGGGAACTTATCCTTGAAGAATTTAATTTGTCTTGGGTTTTTGGAAACATAGCTGCTGACAATATCCTTCAACTTCTTCTCGTGCCAGCCTTTAATCCTAAAGTCAACCTTCTTTGGCTCAATGCTACAAAGACACTACTTTATGAGTTGTGGTACGAAAGGAATCTCAGAATTTTTAAGACAAGAGACAACCTCTGGAGATGCGTTTCAATATAGCTAAGTTCAAAGTTTCTCAATGGTGTTTCTTATCATCTATCTTTAAAAGTTACACCCCTGGCTTGATATGTTCTAATTGGAGAGCTTTTACTGGTCTGCATCCGTTTGATTGGGTTTCGGCAGGTGGGTCTAAGGTGAGCAATTTTACTCCTTGGAAGGCTATCGCTTTGGGTTTCCCTGTCTTTTCTCATTCTATTCGGTCTGTGGTGGGGGAGGGTCGTAATACTTACTTCTGGGAGGATGCTTGGGCAGGAGATAAACCTCTTTGTATTGCGTTTCCTTGGCTTTATCGTCTTTCTGGAAAGAGGCTTCATTTGGTGGTCGATGTTTTGAATCCCGKGGGAGAGGTTCCTTCTATTTCTTTGGGCTTTACTCGTGCTCAGTGTTTTTAAGGCGCGCCCAGGCGCTCGCCTCAGGTGAGGGGCGAGCCTTAAACGGCACCGAGGCGAGCGCCTTCAATCGGGCGCTTGCCTTTGT